TCAGCGTTATTAAAAAGGAATAACACTTTAGAGTTATGATCAAAGTTTTCAAAGCAAGGATACTCTCTTGCGATTTTGTTGTTACGTTCTAATCGAAAACTATCATACAAAGGACAACAAAAAAAGCACATGTTTTCCATCTTCAATTTCATTTGAATGGCAGAAAGAACAGATTCTTTGATTGACTGGGGTCTTTGGAGTCGTGTATCTTCCCGTTTCAATGTGTAATTTATGATTGCCCAGACGGAATTTATTAATGAAAATCTTGTGTTGTGGATTGTTTATGAGATCTAAAAATTATATACAAACCTTGAAATTCAGAAGGCGCAAAAGGCATGGACCCAAGAATCAACACACATGCATGCATTACTCGATATTTGTCCTAAAAAAAGTTGCTGGAGGTAAAACATTGTGTAATTCGCCCCTCCTCTCCCCCCTTTTTAAAAGAAAAACCATGCTACTTCCATGGACACCCTGAAAATCCAACCACCAAAGGAACTCATCTCAGGATTTCATCTCAAACGTCTAAAACGTGTTCTTCTTCTACGCAAGTAAAGAATAGACGTAACGCCGTAATTACCTGAATTACATACTGAGCCATGGGACTAAAAGAACTAAGGAAACAATACAAGCAAAGAAAAAAAAATATTTGCAGGGCCAAAGAAAGACAAGAATAAGAGACCTGCCTCCCACAGGTGTAGCGCAAAGCTTTTGTACACAAAGTAATCTCCTAAGTTAAGGAAATATGTAAGTTTACGTGGTTGAAAGATGAGCATGGTTTAATCGATTGACACCTAAGAGTGACACCTTTGAGCAAGAACTGAAACTAAGGGGCCGACCATTTAACTCTTGACGGGGGGGGGAGGAGTGATTTTAAAAAAAATTTCCTGCAAGCGCTTGTTGGAAGAAAAAAATTGCATGCAGCCTAAATGTAATAGAAAAAAGGGCATTTAGAGCGGAAAAATATCCTGTACAGCAGATTGCTAGAAAGAAAAATTTTTGATGACCAGAAATCACCCACCCCCCCCTCAAAAGTTAAATGGTCGGCCCCTAAGGTAACTCTTTCAAAAGTTTTGTCCAGATTTCAGGAGGAAGCCTGATTCTATTTCTGTAGAAATACTGTACTGTTACGAAACGGAAATCGGACGAATTCACTGGGTTTGTACTCAGTTTGTCTCCACAGCGCTGGCCTGGCGTTTCCGTTAATTATGACAAACTGAAGAAACATGCCTGAGGAAAAAATCATAAGCACAGATAGTTAATCGACTAGAGCGGTTCCTTTGTCTTCTATGCCTCTTAAAAAAATGCAGCGTCTAATTTTGCTTTCAGCTCACGAAAATATGAGGCGTATGCAGACAAAAGAGTGGGTTTCTTGTGGATCCCTCAAGTACTGGATGTGCGTCAGTGTTGAAGTATGTAAAGGAAGGGAATCAACCCAAAAACCAACCCAATCACTCGAATCGACACAGTAAACCAAACGCAAATTAACGTCAGCCATCGGAAAATTATTACCGGTAGGGCGCATTTGGAGATCAAATGTTTCGAACCACAGTATTGTAGTTATGAAACATTTCCAGAATGTTTCAAGTCGAAATCGACCGAACTATCAAATCAATTTTCGTGTCTAACAATTGACGTCACGTGGCCTCAAACCCATGGGGTTGTCTGCCTGCGGTTTCCATTTGGCGAATCATGTTTACTGAAGTACTGATGCACGAACAAGAGAATTATATTCTCTTGTGCACGAAAAAAAAATTGTTCACTTGCATTATGGTGGGGCCATGAAAAGTTATTGTCTCCAACAGCTCTTTGTTGTCTGTCTTCAGCAACTTTGCTCTTCGAGCGAAGGTTAATACTTGGCAAGTCATGATCACGTTTTTACAAATTTGCAAGGCGGTGTATCTGATCAACTTCACTTGTTTCAGCAATAAACATCCCTCCCTCACCCCCCTCTTTCCTAAAGATGGAGATAAGGCTCTTCTGGGTCAAAGATTTAGCCGCCTATTTTATTGCACAATTTCCGTCGTTTGTTTTCTGTCATGTAGACCATGGAAAGGCCATTGTCTGGAACAGGTCTTTGTTGTCTTAGTAGCCGACCATTTAACTCTTGAGGGGGGGGGGGGGGATTTTGAAAAAAACGGACCATTATTCGCTGCCCATAATATTCCTTATAAGGGGCT